TTTCCTGTCCCCTCCCAAGCGAGGCCTCGCCCGCCTAAGGAAGGAGGCCAGCTAGGACTTTCAGAGGAAGCCACGAGAAGAAGACCTTCCAGACCTCCAGAGGTGCCCCCAATACACGGAGATGGGGCGGAGTGGGGAGCACGCAGAGGTGGGCATGCTGGGAGGGGGCCGTCTCGAGAGGCCTGGCCGTACCTTCCAGTGTGAAGCGGAAGAGATCGTGGTAGAGGTCCACGGTCAGAGAGCCCCGGGTGTTCTTCCTGACCTGCCGGTGCATGAAAGCCACAAAGTCCTCGGCCACCGTGTTGAGGAAGGGCAGGAACTTGCGGGTGCTGGCAGGGCTGATCACTTCCTTGTTGAGGGTCAGCCGGTCCGAGCGCCACTCTTCCCCGTTCCTGCAAAGCAAGGTCACCCCCCACGGGTGAGACCCACGGCTCCCGGCTTTTCTTCGTGAAGGACCTCCGTGCCCCTGTTCATTGCGGGAGCCTCCCTTGTCCCTGCCTAGTGCGCTCCTCCATCCAGACCCTTCCTCCCCTTTCCACTGAAGCCCCCGAAGCTCCTTCCTTCCATGGACCCTCCATCCATGCAATCCGAAGTTGCATAAACAGAAGGATTCAATCGAGATCACGGGAGGTACTAACACCACTTTACAAGGCCTTGGTAAGGCCACACTTGGAATCCTGCATCCAGTTTTGGTCTCCACACTATAAAAAAGATGTTGAGACTTTAGAAAGGAGTTCAGAGAAGAGCAACTAAGATGATCAGGGGACTGGAGGCTAAAACATACAAGGAACGGCTGCTGGAATTGGGTATGTCTAGTTTAAGGAAGAGAAGGACGAGGGGGGACAGGATAGCAGCCTTCCAGTATCTCAGGGACTGCCCCAAAGAAGAGGGAGTCAAGCTATTCTCCAAAGCGCCTGAAGGCAGGACAAGAAGCAACGGGTGGAAACTCATCAAGGAGAGAAGCAACCTGGAACTAAGGAGAAACTTCCTGACAGTGAGAACAATCAACTAATGGAACAGTTTGCCTCAAGATGTAGTGGGAGTTTTATCACTGGAAGCTTTCAAGAACAGACTGGACTGCCATCTGTCAAAAATGGTATAAGGTCTCCTGCTTGGGTGGGGTGTTGGACTAGATGACCTCCAAGGTCCCTTCCAACTCTGTTTTCTATTCTATTCTATTCTATTCTATTCTATTCTATTCTATTCTATTCTATTCTATTCTATTCTATTCTATTCCTTTTTCTGTTCTATTCCTTTTTCTATTCTATTCCTTTTTCTATTCTGTTCTATTCTATTCTATTCTATTCTATTCTATTCCTTTTTCTGTTCTATTCCTTTCTCTATTCTATTCCTTATTCTATTCTATTCTATATTCTATTCTATTCCTTATTCTATTCTATTCTATTCTATTCTATTTCTATATTCTATTCTATTCTATTCCTTTTTTGTTCTATTCTTTTTTCTATTCTATTCCTTATTCTATTCTATTCTATTCTATTCTATTCTATATTCTATTCTATATTCTATTCTATATTCTATTGTATTCCTTTTTCTATTCTATTCTATTCTATTCTATTCTATTCTATTCTATTCTATTCTATTCTATTCTATTCCATATTTTCTATTCTACTCTACTCTACTCTACTCTACTCTACTCTACTCTACTCTACTCTACTCTATTCTACTCTATTCTATTCTATTCTATTCTCTCCTGTTCTATTCTATTCTATTCTATTTTATTCTAGAATAGAATAGAATAGAATAGAATAGAATAGAATAGAATAGAATAGAATAGAATAGAATAGAATAGAATAGAATAGAATTTGCTGCCCCCAAATACGGGAAGACGTTTCCAGCCCAAGGAGGAAGGAGAGTTTCAGGATCCTGAACGAAGCTGGGCCTGGGGCTGAAAAAGTCTTCCCGTATCTGGGGGCGGCACTCTTCTTGAAGTAAGGATGACCTTCCACCAGGACACGCCCATTATAAAAGAGAAGACGGCTCCTTGTACTTCCGGATCATGGATGTGTTATGCACCCATCTGGGAAAGGCTGCAGGTGACCCAGTCCTGAAACTCCCCTCTCGGTGGTCTTGGGCTCTCCATCTCCTGCCAGAGACCCTCCACGAAGGAGGTGGAGCACCAGCTGCTCTTGAAGTTGGGACAGCTGGACCAGGGCTGTCCGGGTTCAAAGCAGGAGAGGCACCTTCCTCTCTCAAGCCAAGGCCTTCGCAAGCTGCTCTACGCTGACCCACCAGGGCTTCTGTCCTTGCAGCCGGAGGGAGGCCTCCGTGTGGAAGAAGAGGCCTTGCAGTGACATCACCTGACGGTGTGGCTGAGAGTAACTTACAATAGGAAGACGCCACATTTGTGGTTCCTCAAGGTGCGGTGAGCTAGCCACGAGTCTATGCCCATCCGGCGTGGAAAAATCCCCTCCGTCTGGAAAAGCTGGGCGGCATCCTGTGGTAGGAAGACGTTGACGCTGTCATGGCTGCCCACCGTTTCCCTGCCAAAGCAACAGAATCCGGTCATGGAAAGAACCGCCCGCCTGCTCTGCGCTTCCGGAATTAGACCAAGGAAGGCAGGAAGGAAGGCAGGAAGGAATGCAGGAAGGGAGGGACGGAGGGAGGGAGGGAAGGAAGGAAGGAAGGAGGAAAAAAGAGGAAGGGAGGGAGGGAGGGAAGAAAGAGAAAGAAAGAAAGAAAGA